AATTTTTCGAGCTTGACCGCAGTGCAAGTCGTCTGGAGACCGTATAGGTACATCATATAATCCGGGGTGAACATATCGAACTTTTAAAATGCAAAGGAGTACCTTTTAATACACACACTGTCATAAGGAATCGGCAGACAAAAATTCACTTAATAAAGGTGTCATGAACTGTTAAACCCAATTGTTTGAGCTACTGCTGCTAGTCAACGTTTCAAAATTAACTAAGACCATGGTTGCGGCGCGTTGTTCTTGTAATGGTTATTCAACCTATTTGAATATTTATTCTCCTACAGCATTGAGGGTAATGCGCAATGGGTAAACGGGCCTTTTATTCTCCTCACACTTGTTGGGTCTCCGTACCTGGATGATACAACACCATCGCAAGTTATGGGCTGTTGTCTTCATTTCCACCGGTTCACAGCCGAAGAACAGGGCCAACTAAGACCATAGTCTTACTTAATTTGTAAAATATGACCGATTTTTACTTGTAACATGAGGACACCGCGAAAATCATGACGCACCAATTGTTTATCTGTTACATTGTTTACTTACCAGCAATGTAAAACATCGATAGTTCCGCATATGCGACGTCACTCCATCTATTGTTTTAATTAATCTATTTCTTCGTTTAACCTATGGTGGTTCTTATCGGATACAATTGACGCAATACAAAACAAGTATTTTTATTGTGAGAAGACTGTAATTATTTCCTAAATGATCCTTCAGCCACCGTTAAGTTATTGTCTGTCCGTATGCTTATTAAATCCTGCCACATAATTTTGGTGGCAAAGTAGTGTTGCACTTTAAAGCATGTGCTCTTTGTTGTTCTTAATTTACTTTCTACGAGTTGTTTTCCTTCACATCACTTATTCTGCTTTTTCCTCTTCGAAACCGCTTTGCATGGCAAAACGGGCAAGAAGCGGAACTCTCAAAGAGACACTTGCCGAAATTCTTAGATAATATCCTTTATATTTTCGCTTTGTTTTCCTCCTCTTCACCTATTTACTCACATTGTCCATATTTGTCATACATACGTTCGCAAACTTTTTGTATGACTCAATACAGTTGGCTTTCATTGTAAAGTTCTTCATGAGGTTTAGGCACTTCATAAAGCTGGAGGCACATGCCACAGAATAGTCGTCTCGCCAGCAGTTTCGTCTCAGGTTCTTTTTCTTTGCTTCCAAAAGAGGCGACAACATGAACCTGTTTTAAAACACAAAATTTATCATTATCTTCGTTGCACTGTGTTATATTGGCTCCTCTAAAGTGCCTTATTTTTGTACATTTTGCACTCTAGGCTCCGCAGAAAATGAAAAGACAAATTATGATAGACACCTCTCAGAGCCCAGATAATTGGCTCCCGGTATGTCTTTAGAAGATACAGGGTACTCCGGCTGCCGGTTTTCAGGGGACCACTTGAGTCATTCATCGCCGTAAGTTCATTAACCATTATTTTTCAGGGCTTTCTCTGATATCCTTAAGGATGTTTAGACTCTAAGCCAGACTTGCTATACCATTGGATATCTCAAAATATGTAATACGCTAAAGATATATAAAAGTGCAAGATGAACCCGAGTCTCCTTATATTCCGGTGAAGCTGTTTGTTAGTGTGTGCTTTTGACCGACCAATATTTAAGTTTGTCGGGAGTTACTAGTTGTTGTCCTCTGAGCGCAGCTGACTTAAAGTACATTCGACCGATTATTTGCAGTGGGATAGGCCTGT